GCATAAAGTTGCAAGTGCCATTTGATAGGTGGAAAGCAAGAGCAGCATGCTATTCATAAACATACGACATAACAGTTTTGAGCATGTTTTATGTGACTCCTCTCTCTTCTTTCTCCTCCTAGAATGAATCATCTACAGAGAAAATCAGTATTGTTGGTGAGGAACTGTCTACACTAAATGGGAAGGTATGAATTAGCATCTTCAGCTTTTAAGGGGAAAAAGCAGGTTTTTTGTATCTTCCAGGAAGTCCATCTTTACTAAGATTTTGACACTACGTATTTACAGCCACTTAACACTGGTTTAAAATGCTATGCATCAAACAGTGAGTAATTCCCACTGATCTCAGTAGAAACTTAACGTAATCAGTACTGAATGTTTCTTAAGATCCTATTCCACATTTTATCCCACAGCCCCCAGAAACGAACCATCTTAAACTGACTCATGCAGATTGGTTCTAGAATGCTATTGCTATAGATGGAATAGTATATAAAACCTGACATAGGTGGCTTTCTCACAACATTTTATGCTTCCATAAATACTTACAGAAAGACTCTTCAGAAAGCACTAAAGTAGTTAAGTGACGAGCTCCTTTGGAAATCAATTGCAACTTACTTGTAACTGAAGTTTGTAGCGCAAACTTTTCCAGGCTGTATAATTCACTGAATGTTGCCGTGTAAATATTTTCTTTTCTTTTTCTCCCTACATGAACTTATCCAGAATGTTTTAGTAGTAGAGGTAAGCAAAGATTGGAGTGTGGGGGGAGGGAATGACATGGACTTTTTTTCTCCCTGTTTTGCAAGTTAATACCTATTGCACATAAACCAACAATTAATTATGTTACTGTGCTGCCAAGGTTGCTTGACTTGGTTTTATGCTTTAAATTAATCTACTGACAAGCTGTTTTTTCTTTCAGACTCACAGGATAGCTTATTTTTTTATTTCTTTAAGGACATTATTGAGACCGGTAGAACAATGAAAGCACTACTTTCAAAACTAAAAGACAAAGAACCAAAGATGGTAAAAGTTGTGAGGTATAATGATATGGCCACTTACTAATATATTGTAACGAGACGATATAGCAAAATCATTTAGGTGAATAGCCAGTGTATACTGATGTGTGTGTGTGTGTGTGTGTGTGTTCAGTTTTGGTTTGGAGTTTGGGAGAGGAGGAAGTAAAACCAGGAAGCAATCCTTATCCTCCTGGTGAAAAACTAAGTATTTATTGAACTGGAAAATTTACATACGCACTACCACCTTCATTGTTAAAATGAATAAAAAAAGTTTCCTGGCTCTTTTTGCGTAGACCATAAAGTCTGATGGATTCCCTGTTTCTTACCTCCTTATGTTTGAAGGAAATCCAGCTCTTTCCATAGGTTTCCTAACACCTTGCCTCAATACTAGCATGACAACACTCAGAATTTTTCTTAATACTCTCAGTCATTTCAGAATCTAAGAGTTTGTCAGCACTTGCAAGATGACTTCAAGTAGCATCTAGATCTGTGTTTAGATGATTTGTCAAAGGAATTTTTGGGGACTATCTCTCTCTGTCAAGTAATCATATTTTTCAAAAATTCTTCTTGTTTTATGTACCAGCTATACTCCTCCTAGTGACTATCTGGGAGGTTCTCAGTTTCTTCAGAAGTGCACAGGAAAAGCAAGAATGGATATGACTTTGTGGAAGAAATCGTAGTGACATTGCACAGCTTGTCCTCTTCTCCCTCCCTCCCAATTAAAATCTTTACGTGTCACTTGAACTTGCCTACCTGTCTGTGCTATTCTAGTTTGCTGATACATTGATACATGAAAAGATAATGATTTGGGATACAGAACTGAAGTGAACTAAATGTAAAACAATAGAGTCAATTGGACCTTCAGAATGAACCTAGATTTGAGCCTTCACATTCCTCAATTCTGAGACTGAACGCTACTTCTTTCTGTTATAATAATCTCATTGCTTTAATTTAACTGCACGATTGTAGAAGTTTATGGGGAAGGATGAGAGAATTGAAGTATACAGCTTAGAGCAAGACATATTTTCAAAAACATAACCTTCTCTGCTCTGCCTTACAGCCTGCTCGTTAAAAGGACACATCGAAGTCCAGGTTACAGACCAGACTGTAAGTATTGCATTTTTCTGGTTGCCCAAAACACAATCTCATAATTTCACTTCATAGAGTAAGTCTGAAATTCGGAATATAAATTTCAGGAGAGCCAAGAGAAATGGGGAGAAAACACAAAAAAATTTGTGAACTGCCGACCAGCTATCCCATACTGAAATTTCATGACCACTACCTTTTTTTTTTTTTTTCCCGGGTTCGTCTGAGTGCAGGTTTGGCTATTTGTTAGCAGACAACAGAAAAAGAATCAAACCTTAACTTTGTATCGCTTGTCTTCAACCCCAAAAGGCCTTTTTTTGACTCTGCAAACTGAAAATCCCTACTGAGTTTCAGTGAATCTACTTTTACAGAAGTAAAATCTCACTCCTTGTCTCCTTCTCCCAGGACTACCTCATAAATAGGTTTTAAATAATTATTTTGTTCTTAAAATGCATTCTCTTAACTATTTAATTGTATTACTAACTGATGAGGATGGTATAGATTCTAACCTTTGCCATCAATTTATGGCTCTGATTCTTAAAAAAGCATGCTACATACCTTGAAAGCAAGATGATGTATTTGTTAGGTATTAATCTTAAACAGCAGAAGCGTATGTTGAATACAAACTGTGTATTTGAAAGATATTTACACCACCCAAGTATAAAAAGAATTGCATTTTGTTACAGACATAGGCTTTGAAATTCCAGATAAATTTGTGGTTGGATATGCTCTTGATTATAATGAATACTTCAGAGATCTAAATGTAAGTACATATATGTGTGCCTCGACTGTTACATATATGACTGCTACCACAGGTAACAGCAAGAATATTAGCTTATACCAGGAGCTTCTCAACAACTAATAAAACTTCAAATCTGACTAGAAATGTCCATTAAAAGGGCAAAAACGTTATTAACATGTCAAGCCGATAATTCAATGTAAATGTGTAATAACTTGTTTGTGCCTTACCTTTTCATTAATCTACTTCACAAATCTCTTAGCCCAGCTGTTCTGTACAGTACCCTGCACCCTCCAGAACGGCTGGCAGCATACAATCTGCTGGCCCCATCTGAAAAGAAAGTAACTTGTAATTTGGCTTTGATTTGATGTTTGTCTGTCTTAGTGAAATCCTGTGTTGCTCTTTTGTAGCCAAGTCTTTCAGATGGCTGTGTGTGGACTGTGTGTGAAAGTTTTTCCTACACTGTATGACATGTTCCTAAAGATCTTTTTTTCCTTTGTTCCATTATAGTCTCCTTAGGCTGCACTAAGTAGTAGACTTGGAAAGACCGTAACTGATAGAAAGAGCTGATTTTTTTTTTTCCCCCCCTTAGTTTTCAAAAGCACTTAAATCTGGTCAAGTGGAAAAGCTTTTCCCTTGAAAGTCTTTTTAGTAAGACAAACCTGTTCTGTTAAAGACACATAGTGGATCTATGCTATTGCAAAGCACTATGAAGAAGGATACAAAAATTAAACAAACCTGACCTCTTCCGAATATACAAATCTATAAATTACAGATGAAGCAATATTAACATCTCAATTTTACTGCAAGTAGTAAACTTGCAACCAAACTCACAAAGATTACTGTTCTGGTGTGTTTTCCTTACAATGCTAGGAATACGAATGAAAATCAGTCTTGCATTTTTTTTGAAGGTAAAGATTGACTAAAATTGGACTTATTTTTTTTTTTTTTTAGCACATCTGTATTCTGAAAGAGAAAGCCAAAGAGAAATACAGAATCTGATAACCTCAGTCTTCTGGAACAAGAGTTAAGTGGCATGTACAGCTGTGTGGATGAGTAACAAGAAGTAATCTACAAATTGTGCTCTTCACTGAAGAACTACATTTTCTAAAGACACTATTCTAGATATTTTTCCTATAATGATTATGTAAAACAGCTTAAAAGTAAATGAATTCTGTTCACATTTCATTGAAATGTGAACAAAATGCTGGCCATAAAATGCATATTCTGTTCTGCTGGAATCACAGGGGATGAGTGTACATGTGTACGTAATTAATTATGTTTGGGTTTTAATTTACTACATGAAGTAACACATTGTGTGATTGTATATAAACTGCAGTTATTTTTGCATGTGAGCTTGTGTGTGTAAAAATACACACATGTACTTCATGTAACCAATAGGCTGAATAAGCATTTAAGGACTTGACAGTAATTAAGTCAACTGTACAAAGTGCATACCACATGGAAAACACATTTGGTTCTTTAGCTTAATGCAATGAAAAAAAAAAGTAAACATTAAGGTAACTACACTGAGATTAGTTCTTATACTTTCCACATAACTTGGGCTGTTGTGCCTTGCTTTCTGAGGGAAGGGATCATGTGTTGATTGTACCCCTGTGCTGCCACTTGAAATGCAGGTAACACTGATTACTAGCTGTTAAGATTGGATGATAAACCATTATAGCAGGAAATAACTTCTGCTAGTTGTGTGTCCCTAATGAGAACTGCAAGTTAAAATTTTACTGCCCAGTCTCTGGCACCTTGCTGTTCCCTACCTGCACTAAATGATTAAAATAAGCTCTGAGGGGTTGAGGTTTCACCCTTGTGAATTAAAGAGTACTGAGCTAGGCCTCTGTTTTCAAGAAAGTCTCGTGACACCCTTTAGCTTTTAAAGGTCCTGAGGTACAGGTGACCAAAAGTCTGATGGGTGTGCAACGGCACTTTCCAGAGCCCCCCTGAGAGCTGGAGGCTGTCATCTGCCACGTCACCCGCCCCTTGGAGCGCATGAGAGGGGGAACACTGGTGCCTGTCTGAACAGCCCCCTTACCTAAAGCACTGGGGACGGCTCATGCTGGAGCCCAGCGCCACCCGCTCGCTGCCACGGCCCTTGCCCCTCTGAGGCAGGGGCGCGACGCCAAACTGCTCCTCGGGTTTGTTTTTCCCAGATGGAGCGAGGGCAGCTGGCAGCTAACACCGCCCTTCTCTGGGTAAATGTAGCCCACAGAAGCGGCGGCGACCGGCC